TAACACATCTGCAACTAAGTTTAAAGCCTTAAAGATGATGTAAAGTTTATTACAGCCTAACAAAATCAGACAATGAACTAACAAATACGACCTATACTTACTTTATCGTTGCACCACATTCGAATCTAGTTTCCAAAACTTTCTCATTTTATCTAATGTCACTTATGAATATCTCTCATTCTGATGCATACTTCTGTCTTTCGCTGGCCGTACCGAGTCTACCCATGGATATGATAGACTTTGGCCTCTGTCAACAAGCCTAGTCGATCGCCCAACACCAATTTGAAGACGAAATTCACTTCAGGCGATGTTTCAAGAAGGGAGGACTCCCAAGTAAACTCTGATTTATCCACGACCCCTTGCTCCTTGAGACAAACATGTTTGCTGTGGAAGGCCCAGACATTCGGATCTGCGACAACCAGAAGGCCTCCGCCTCTAGCATGTAACACTTTTACGTAGGCTGCCCTTGTCCATCCCTTGCCCATCTTTTGCATCCGCATCTGTAGCTTCTAGTGAGGAGAAGCCTCTATGCGCTACACCAAATCCTCCCCCCCCACTGGTATTCTCGAAATTCTACTTATAAACTAAAACCAAGTCCCCCAACGACTGTGTCGTTAAGTCCGCGTCTCCAAGTTACACCTCTTCATCTGCGGTTCTTCATGGTATCTTTTCCTCGTGGCTACACAACTCTGGATCGTCTTTTCAATTGCTATTTTCCTGCAATCCTTTCCTGCTCATCCGCCTCTCATTAACTTTTGCACACACAATCAGTTTCCATGCATCAAGATAACTTCAACACTAACTCCTTCCGACTTCTATCGTATAGGTCTTAAAAAGAGTTTCTTGGCGCTACTTGTCGAAAGGATTGGACTACTTCAAAGGAGTGGATTAAAACCCATACAGCTCTATCTTGCCCGTAGCTGTCTTCGCATACTCGGCTGATTAACGTCATTTTCATTTTATAGTAATTGTTACTATTTATCAGTCTGTCTGTGCTACGAAAAGCTAATTTTACAGAAATCTCTTAGTTTACAAGTGTTAAGTTCACTTCTTTTCGAGAAAATTTGCGTGTGATCGAGGAATAAAAAAGTCGATTCCATTGGGAAACTACGACGGATTTCTCTTAGCTGCCTGTCTGTTGGCATTATCGGAACATACCTGTCTCTTTCGATTTCGGTTAAAACGTGTTAAACTAACGTCCTTAGTTAACATAATTCCCAGCAGCAGACAGTGGACTTGGTACATTCTCAAACGCTTCGCCGGCATCGTAGTCGGCTTCTTCAGAAGGCGCTGTCATTTTT